GGGGGTAGATTGACTTTTTAAAAGGGGGGATTCGAGATCGATGAACCAATGTTTCACCGTTTTCCATCAAAACTTAGTTTCCATGTAATCCAACACTATGTCAATTCATGCAAGGTTTTCTTCCCACAGCCACAAGATGTGGCAGCAATTGGTGTAAGATTATGTCCTTTTTTGTTTCAACCAACAGGGAAGGTGAAGTGACTCTTAGTTTTAGGAACGGCATATTGTTGCTTATTGTTATGTTGTTCTTACAGTCTCTGAACTCTTTTCTGCACATGACAAAAAGATATTCAAGCAAGAAGACAAGAATGAAGTTGCAGTAAGCAGACATTTCTCTTGTAGTGGTGAACTCCGTGACTCTAGCGCTCTCATGTACAAGGGACAGGAATGCATTAATTACTCTTGACGTTATTGGGGGATGGGATCGGATAAAAATACTCCCTCCATTTCACAATATAGTGCGCTCGCGCTTTCTGTAATTCAAATTTGACCGTGAATTTAACTATCGAGACTGACTGCGGCGGGAACAAAAATTATACCACTAATCGTATTTTCGATATGAATTCGATGATATAATTTTTTTCCCATTGTAGTCGGTTCCGTTGGTTAAATTTACAGTCAAACTTAGATCTTAGAAAGCGCGGACGCATTACTTTGTGAAATGAAGGGAGTAGTTCTTCGAGGAAGGGATCCAGCTTGATCTTTGCAGAGTTCACTGAAATTCACCTAAAAAAGAAAAGTACACTGAAATCGGCGCTGTAAGCTGAAAGTAGTGCACCAGGCTCGCTCCTCCTTGCTCGAAGCTACCTAGACTTTGCATGGAAATCATTCCACGCTTCATTGAAACTTTCAGTTATGCTACCTGTAGACCCTAATTTGTTTTAAAAGAAAAATCAGAGAAGTTGATATGGTCGAGTTGGTCTAATGCACCAATTATTTTTTATTTGGTTTTTTCTCTGGGATGACAATTTTAGTTGGAAACAACGTCAGGGCCGGAGTGCTTCGTGCCACATGTGTGTCACTTTTTAAGTTGGATCCTTTCGATCTACGCTACTCTTCATCAGCGATGGTTGTTATTCTGTTACGCTGGTTCTATAGGGCCTTAGTACGGCGACTTCCTGACTGTCTACTACAACAAGTTTTGCTCGGCTCCGGCAAGAGGGAGGGACAATAACGTCGGTGCGCCTTCTTCTCGCTTTAGTTCTTGTAGCCGTCGCTAGGTGGTTGTCAGCAACAGCGATCAAGACACAGAAGCAGTAGAGAACCAAGTACCAGGAGTGGGCCGGGGGTAGATTGACTTTTTAAAAGGGGGGATTCGAGATCGATGAACCAATGTTTCACCGTTTTCCATCAAAACTTAGTTTCCATGTAATCCAACACTATGTCAATTCATGCAAGGTTTTCTTCCCACAGCCACAAGATGTGGCAGCAATTGGTGTAAGATTATGTCCTTTTTTGTTTCAACCAACAGGGAAGGTGAAGTGACTCTTAGTTTCAGGAACGGCATATTGTTGCTTATTGTTATGTTGTTCTTACAGTCTCTGAACTCTTTTTTGCACATGACAAAAAGATATTCAAGCAAGAAGACAAGAATGAAGTTGCAGTAAGCGGACATTTCTCTTGTAGTGGTGAACTCCGTGACTCTAGCGCTCTCAGGCTGGTCATAGTGGGAGTAACATAGGTAGTAACATAGATGCCACATAAGCAAAATTGGTGATGTGGCAAGTAGTTAATGAGGAGAGAGGCAAATAGAGTAACATAATATGTTACCATCACATAGCGGTTTCCAATGCATAATGAGTCTACAAAGTAATAAATGAAGGCAACTATGTTACCACACCTATGACACTACCCACTATGAAGGTAGTAACATAGACTAGTAACATATGTATGTTACTAGTCTAAGTTACTCTCCACTATGACCAGCCTCATGTACAAGGGACAGGAATGCATTAATTACTCTTGACGTTATTGGGGGATGGGATCGGATAAAAATACTCCCTCCATTTCACAATATAGTGCGCCCGCGCTTTCTGTAATTCAAATTTGACCGTGAATTTAACTATCGAGACTGACTGCGGCGGGAACAAAAATTATACCATTGAATTCATATTTTCGATAGGAATTCGATGATATAATTTTTTCCCCATTGTAGTCGGTTCCGTTGGTTAAATTTACAGTCAAACTTAGATCTTAGAAAGCGCGGACGCATTACTTTGTGAAATGAAGGGAGTAGTTCTTCGAGGAAGGGATCCAGCTTGATCTTTGCAGAGTTCACTGAAATTCACCTAAAAAAGAAAAGTACACTGAAATCGGCGCTGTAAGCTGAAAGTAGTGCACCAGGCTCGCTCCTCCTTGCTCGAAGCTACCTAGACTTTGCATGGAAATCATTCCACGCTTCATTGAAACTTTCAGTTATGCTACCTGTAGACCCTAATTTGTTTTAAAAGAAAAATCAGAGAAGTTGATATGGTCGAGTTGGTCTAATGCACCAGTTATTTTTTATTTGGTTTTTTCTCTGGGATGACAATTTTAGTTGGAAACAACGTCAGGGCCGGAGTGCTTCGTGCCACATGTGTGTCACTTTTTAAGTTGGATCCTTTCGATCTACGCTACTCTTCATCAGCGGTGGTTGCTATTCTGTTACGCTGGTTCTATGGGGCCTTAGTACGACGACTTCCTGACTGTCTACTACAACAAGTTTTGCTCGGCTCCGGCAAGAGGGAGGGACAATAATGTCGGCGCGCCTTCTTCTCGCTTTAGTTCTTGTAGCCGTCGCTAGGTGGTTGTCAGCAATAGCGATCAAGACACAGAAGCAGTAGAGAACCAAGTACCAGGAGTGGGCCGGCCCAAGAGACAGCCTCGCCTGCCGGCTCGGCTGGCTGGCCCAAAATGGGTCCATGTGGGCAGTGTACTTAAACCTAGCGATAGCGTATGAGTGGCTGGCGAACGGCTGGCAGGCTAGCTAACTTTCCCCTTTTGTGTTGTAACGGATAATCCTTCCTCCTCCTTCAGTCCCCTCTGGATGAACTCGTGAATTGTAGCTCGATCTGGTGATAATGGAGGCGCGTTGAGTGAATTGTTGATTGTGTGTTAACAACCTGGTATCAGAGCCGTTCCGTCCTGGAGCTGCCTCAACACCACCACCGCACGCGCCTGGCAAATCGCCGACGAGCCGAGGCGATGGAACGGATCTCGCCGGAGACCAAGGCGATCTACGAGCTTCTCCGCGCCGACTTCGACGCCGCTCTCGCCAAGAGCTCCTCCGAGCGCAACGAAGAGATGGTTTCCGCGCTCGCGAAGCTGGACTCCAAGCTCGACCAACTATCGGGGCGACTCGAGGATGTGAAGTTGTCCCTGGGAGTCGACATCGACGAACTGCGCGGGAAGATGGCCGCGGATCGGGGCGCTGCATCATCGCCCGCATCGCCAACTTCCCAAGGTCCACCTTCGGCCACCACCAAGTACACGGCTCCGGCAAGCGGCACCACGAGCCAGGAAGGGCTCCAACCGGAGGTCGATCCACAACCAGCAACTCCCAGGTACATTCCGCCACCGGCCAGAGGTATGCAGCAGGACCAGATTGTGATCAGGCAGCCGAATCAACCCCTAGAAATTTTTCGGCCCTTCGTTGCGGATTCTTCTAGTTTCGGTCCCCAGATCGAGTTACCCAAATTCGATGGGACAAACCCCAAGTTGTGGCAGACCCGGTGTGAGGATTACTTCAAATTCTGGAACACTCCCGTACATCAGTGGATTCCTTTCGCTACTGCTCTGTTTGAAGGTGCAGCAGCGCGATGGCTTGAATCAGT